GCTTTAATACGTTTCGGCTAAAATACTGTCGGAGCAAATATTTGTCGGTTACAATACTTTCGGCTGTAATATTTTTCTGCTAAAATACTTTCGGCTGTAATATTTTTCAGCTAAAATACTGTCGGTTGAAATATTTTTCGGCTAAAATACTGTCGGTTGAAATATTTTTCGGCTAAAATACGTTCGGCTGTAATATTTTTCGGCTAAAATACGGTTCTGCTAATTTACTTGTCCAACCAATTATTTTTCGGCTAGAATACGGATCGGCTAATATATTTTCGGCCATTATACGCGCTCCCAAATAATCATCGTACTTTTGGATTTTCATCGAACTGCCCAAAACGACGTCATTTCACCCAACAAATGATCTCGTTTGCTGAATTCGACAACCGCGTGTTACTATATAATAATATTCTGTTTACTTACAAGTTTCGATCAACAGTAATGCCCCTAATATATATTATTATAATTTAGGTAAATTCTGTATACAACTATTTAAATTGTTGTTCTAAATAATCAGACTAGATCACCTGTGCAGTGGACCGTGCCCACTCAACTATCCGTATGACTGCATTAAACTATTACATATTATATTCAAGTTTAAAATTCGATTAATATTCTTGATTCATAAGAAAGGCCCGATGTGCTGGCCTTGATAAATACAAATAAATTTGATAAAAATCTTAGAACTAGCAATTATTCAACAAGTTCATTGCAGAAAAAGCTCTTAGACGTCTTCATTATTTGGAATTGAAAAAATAATTATATTTAACAACCAGGTAACTTTTTCTGCTGTTTATAGTAGATTTCGAATGTACTTATAGTCATTAAGTACCTGTATTATGTCACTATATTGGAAAATATGTTAATTTGAATTCAATGACTGTATACGAAAAACCATTGTTAGAGGTTAGGTTATACATGCTAAAGGATATATTTTATAATACATATAACATTATAACATACTACATTTATATTACTATCAGTAATTAATTTTTCTATTAATACAAGAGGTTGAACTTGAACTAATTTTAAAAAAAGATTATATGACCTATACTATTATACTATCGTATCATGAAATATTGTTATTAATTTATAACTGTAAGTCATTATATCTGCATAATAATATAAAATAAATAGGTTCGTGGAATAAATAGCTTTAAATTGGACAAGTTATTATTTTTAAAATGTCATTGTGCATAGGAAATGTTTTCATAATTAGCTACACGTTCAAATGTATTACTGTTAAAAATTATTTTGTTGTATTAACTTAAAAGTGTATTATAATAACAGTTATTTATGAGAATTAACAATTTAAATATACTGGAGTAAGGTTTGGTATCATTTACAGGTCTTATTTGAATGTAACGAATATTTATATGCTGTTCACACAAAATAATGTGTTGGTAATACAATAGTTCGGTAAATTTTAATAAACATAACCTAACGTATTATTATATAATATATAATATATAATATCTATGTTACAACTAAGTTGATACAACTTACAAGACGGTTGGTTATAGGAAACGTTTTGTTTTGATATGATCACCGAATAATTGGTGTAGATAACAAATTATGTGTGGTATTGGGGTAATACCATCTATTTTTGTCGCCATCGGCAGTCGGCACTATTATACCCTACTCGACTATTAGTGACTGTGTTTAGTGTGTTTTCAACAAGGAATATCCGTTTTTCTTTCACTACGCTTGTTCCAGACTTTATTTCAACTTTTATTTAGTGCTCTGTAAATTTTGTTTTTCAATTTACTTTCAAGTATGGCCAATGGTAATAGCAGAGATGATATATCCGACTTTCTATCTGCTTGGGAACTATCCCAATATATTGATACGTTCCAAGGTAAGTTTAATAAGAATAATTAATTAATTCATAATTGAAAAAATGTATGGGCTGTTTGGATAATATCTAAGAACAATGCCATGGCGTGAGATAGTTCTAAAGCCGTGGTCAATACTAATAAGTCTTATCTTACATAGGTAGTTAGGTCTATTATAACTTGTGTGTGTTAACAGGACGTTGCGCCCGCGTGTTATGTTTCCATCTTACAAACGTACAAAATAGCAAATTTCCGTACAGCAGAATCAATTTTATCATTGAAGTTTTTATATTTAGTACTTATTACAGTAAATTTACCTATGATCAAACTTAAAAGGTGAGAACATTATCTAGAGCTTTTCATAGGATTTTATTATCATTATAATTTTAACATAATTTTAAAGTTGTAATATTTTACATAGCTATAGCCCATAGGTATACTAGCCACTAGGTATACTCACTTTAAAATGAAAGTTCAATAAAATCCTATGAGATGTTTTAGATAATATTCTCACATTTAAGATTGATAATAGGTAAATTTGTTCTAATATTTAATCTAAAATAACATGGATTCTGCTGAACACAAATTTTTCAAGTTGTACATTAGTAAGACAACACATGTGAGTTTGACGTCCTGTTTAAATATTAAAATAATAATAATCAATTGCAATACTATGCAAATAAAAATATAATATATTTCATATTATATACAATATCTTTATCGCCTAATTACATTAGGATAGGTACTAAAATTAATGAATTTTTTTTTTATTTCTTATGAACCTACTTAGGGCAGATTTTTTCTCAAAAATCAAATATTTTTTTGTTAAGAAAAGCTAAGTTTATTACAATTTAAGATTTTTGTTTTGAATAGCCAATGACATTGACATGAAGACACTTCCCTGTCTAAACTACGAAATAATCAAAGAATTGATACCTATTGCTGGCCATAGAGCTAGGTGTATTTCAAATTTGGAACAGTGGAAATCTATTGTTATTCAAGGATTGCCCAATGTAAAATATAGTATAACTTAAATATATTTTGTTTTTAAATTTGAATGTTCATTATTTATATATCTATAATAATTAATAAGTATACATATTTTTTAAATTCATTCAAACTTAAAAATTTTAATTAAAAAACATTAGGTTGTTGACATTATGGTTTTACATTTTTAGGTTGGTGAATCTTGCAGTGATATTTTTATTGAACAAAGTAGTTCATCTGAGGTGAATATAAGTTCTATTTAGATATTAGTATATTACTTATTAGTTATTAGTTAATACTATCATAGATTAAATATACTAGTACTAGTTTAATATACTAGTATATTATATTATACTACACAAATTTTATTACACAAATAAACATTTATATTTTAAATACAATTTATTGACTTGTTAACAAAACTTCAAAAAATTGCATTTTAGTATTTTTCAGTATTTATAGTGATGTTTTTTTTCCAGTATATTGAATCATCTCATAACGAATCTTTATTAACAAGTCATAGTGATATTGCATCGATACCCAGCACTTCTGTTGTAAGCATAAATAAAACTATTTAATTTAGTTTATTTATACTCTATATTTTGTTGAATTATAAATATATTTTTTTATATTTTAGCAATCGATTGAAACCATTAAATTGTTTTACGAGGATCTCCAAAATGTGGCCGATAACACAAAGTCAACACAACCCCAAAATACACATTTAGCTTCACAACCAACAACAGTAAGTAATAGATATAATTATAATGTCCAAAATAGTTCTGGTTACATGTTGCTCCTTTTATATTGGCATTAAAATACTTATATACATGATTTTCTTTTGCAGGGGTTATTGGAATGGCTCAAAGGTACCAATGAGGGCAGGTCTTTATTAGCCTCCTACCAAGAAAGTGGTCTTTTGGACAGTATTGGTCGTAAACGCCTTTGCAATTTAATAATTAGTAACGAACTCAGTGTAGATGTAAATGTCAGGGTATCTTCAGTTAGATTACAAGAACTTGCTTATGAAATAACTACAATATTTAACAAAGAACGAACCCCTACTTACTTTATCCCGTATTTGTCATATGGACCTGGTTTAAAAAGAGCCGCAAAAGGCAAGCTTTTAGATGTCCTTAATAACCGTAGGAGGGAATTTAGAAAATCTGGTATTATAAAATCATTACGACGAAGTTCAACACCTACTGGCCGTGCTTCACCTGCACTTTTACTTCCAGAAGCACTTTAACGTATTGCAGAAAATCAGACAGATAATCCTGCATCTGTAGAAGAGAGCTTAAATTGGCTGCGCAACTGTAGTGACCCTTGGTCACTTGTTGAAGAAAATTGGGCTCTAACAGCAGGTAAACGTTTGAAAGCACAAATTTCAAATGATGGTCAGTCTATTAGTGCATATATGTCAGAGTATCCTGCATTAAAAAAACCTACAGGATATTTTCTTGTGAGTGATATACGTTTATCATATAATGATGGATTATTTATAGTTATATTCTATTGTGTTTACAGTTTTTAAAAGATTTTGATGTGGCTTATCCTGGTTATTCCAACAAGCTTTACCAAAGTCTACCATTATATACAAGAGAAAAATATTAGAACTGACTGGTAAAAAATTAAAAAAAACTAAGGAAAATACGGTCATACAAATATTAAAAGAATACATACAATTAGGAGCGGAAGGTTAGTTAATACCTATTAGTTAAAATAAAATGCCATACATTTTTATTGTGTTCATCTAACATATTTTATTCTAAATATTAAATATTAGCATTGTTTAAAAAATATTTGGAGCATAAATGTGTAGTAAAAATGTGTAAACTGTTTTATAAATACTAATTTAATTGAATGATCTTCAATCAAATTTTTAACATTAAATTAGTTATATTTTAGAATCTTGAATTGACCAAAACTTTTCATTATTTGCTTAATTATTTTTTTTTATTGCTTCGAGTGACACTGCGAGATTGTAAATTATAATTTTTAATTACTTTTTTAGTATATTACAATATTTATTAATTACAAATAAAATGACTTATGTTTATAGATAATGAAGAAGTTTCTAACATTGCTGTCTTACTCAGTCTCCCCTTTCTGATCGGTGTTTCAATTTCTAGAACAAAGAAATCAAAAATACAGTGGAGAGCTTCTTAACAAGAAATGAGGGATGGGTTTATAACACATGTAAGAAGTAACACTGAGGTTCAAGCTACAATTACACATAGGAGAGACAAATTGGTAGGTTTAGGCCATACACTTCAACCATTCATCATAATTGTGGGTCAACTTAAAGAAATTTCCAATTATTTAGTTGTTGTTGATAACATATTCTATCAATTGAATTCAATTGCTGCCTCAGTTGATTGTTGTTTTAAGATTATTATAACACTCAATGCACAGTACTCTGTTGAGTGTGAAACTGTTTGGTGTTTTATACAAAAAGGTTTTTATAATTTGCAAACACCATTTGATAAAAACTTTACAGCAGTCAACACATTTCTTTCAGATGTAGGGATTTAAGTTTTTAATTCATCGATTAATTTTTAAATAAGTAAAAAAAAAAAATTCATAATTTTAGTTAAATATTAGGGAGTTGCCTAAAGAAGTATTTTTTTTTTTATTTATTACATATCAGTTTTAGAATTAATTGCTTACGTAAAATTAAACTTTTATAATATATACCTATTGTAAAATTAGTATCTATTGTTTTATTTACAAATTATCAGTTTTTATAAATTTAATTAAATATTAGGAAGTTGCCTAACAAAGTATTTTATTTTTTTTTAATTACAAATCACTTTTAGAATTAATTGTTAACGTAAAATTAAACTTTTATAATACATACCTATTGTAAAATGAGTATTGTTTTATTTGCAAATTATCAGTTTTTATAAATTTAATTACATATTAGGAAGTTGCCTAACAAAGTATTTTTTTTTATATATTACATATCAGTTTTAGAATTAATTGTTAATGTAAAATTAAACTTTTATAATATATACCTATTGTAAAATGAGTACCTATTGTTTTATTTGCATATTATCAGTTTTCATAATTTTAATTAAATATTAGAAAGTTGCCTAACAAAGAATTTTTTTTTTTTTTTGTTTTATAAGATTTAATTATTTACATAAAATAAAACTTAATTCTGTATATATTGAAAAATGCCGAAGAGTTTTTTATGTAAAAAAGAAGTTGATAGCATAAAGAGCCTTTTCAAACATTTTGATTTACAACATTTAAATCATGAATTCCATTTTTTCAATGTAATGAAGAGGATTGCTCAAGATCATTCTATTTAAAAAATTCCTTTCGCAAACATTTGTCAAAACATACTAACCCAATACTACCTTCTATTTTCGAACAATACCATGAAACAAGTTTTAATTTAGATTCTACGCCTATCCTAAATCCAATATCAGATTATGTTTCTCTAGATGAAACTAATAGAAGACAGTTTATTGAGCCATCTAAAACTTTGAATCAAATATTATGTAAATTTTTTTCTTGCTTATATGCTAATCCTATCATGCCCCGGAACGCTGTACAAATTGTGGTAGATGGGATGGAAACCGTTTTTTCTGAAGGTATTGCTGTTTGTATTAAAACTTATGTTGAACAAATGATATGTGAAGGCCAATTACCTGCAGAGTGTCTCAATATTTTTACCAATTTTATTAAAGTAATAGAAGGTGCCTTACTAAATTTCAAAACTGAACACAAACGTTTTCAATACTTTTCTGAACAAGGTTCTTATATTCCACCAAAAGAAAAAGTAATTGGTCAAAGATTAAATAATATGATGGTAAGAGGTTTGTGAGTTTTAAAACCTTCCAACTGCACGGAACAAGTAATACCACTAAGGCATGTTTTACAAAAATTTTTTTCACTTGAAAATGTTCTTTCTGAAACTTTTGACTATATGGCAACTTTAAAAAATAATAGTGGCGTAATAACTAATTTCATACAAGGTAGTTACTGGCAAACTCGAATTAAACATCATGAAGGACGATTAGTACTCCCTCTTTTTATGTTTTTTGATGACTATGAGAGTGGAAATGTTCTTGGGAGCCATTCTGGTATCCATAAGCTAGGTGCAGTTTATGTATCGATACCATGCTTGCCACCTAACCGTTCAACTACATTGTCAAATATTTTTTTAGCATTGCTGTTTCACTCTTCAGACCGAGTACAGTTTGGTAACAGAGTAATTTTCAATTCTATTATAGATGAATTCAATTTTTTGATGAAAACTGGTGTGTATGTAGATAGCTTAAAATTCAAGGGAACAATTTATTTTGAGTTAGGACTTATTTTAGGTGATAATCTTGGCTTACATGCCATTACTGGTTTTGTTGAAAGTTTTTCTTCCAATTTCTGCTGTCAAATTTGTACTATGAATAAGGAAAATATTAAAACTCAATGTTATGAAGATAAATCACTCTTGAGGTCTACAGAACAATATTTTATTGATGTAGAAAGAAAAGACTTGTCTTCTACAGGGATAAAAGAAAATTGTGTATGGTTGGATATTAACGACTTTAATTTATTTGATCAAGTTGATGTAGATGTTATGCATGATATGTTTGAAGGATTTTGTAAATATGTTATGAGTTTCATTTTAGTCTATTACATAAAAGAATTAAAATTATTTTCCTTGGAAGTATTGAATGATAGAATTTCTTGTTATGATTTCGGGCCAGAAAGCAATAAACCATGCACACTATCTATGGAACATATTAATGTTGGTAAAGTTAGGCAATCTGCTTCTGAAATGTTAATTTTAATAAGATACTTTGCCCTACTTATTGGGGATTTTGTACCTTTAGGTGAACCGATTTGGGACTTGTATTTGACTATGCGTAAAGTAATAGATATAATGTTGTCAACATCACTTGAGGAAAGTAATTGTACATTGCTAGAAACCTTAATAGGTGAAATGAATAATCTGTATTTAAAATACAGCAAAAGTAATCTTAAACCAAAATTCCATTTCCTTACACATTATCCATCTATGATAAGAAAACATGGTCCTGTTGTACACTTATGGTCGATGCGATTTGAAGCTAAACACAGGGTTTCAAAAATATCAGCAAGATCATCCTTCAACAGGCGCAATATTTGCTTAACATTGGCTATAAAACATCAACTTCAGCTAAATAAATTATTTAATCATGGGAAATTATATAGTACAGTTAATATAGGTCCTACTAAATTTATAAATCCTTCAAAACTTAGGCAAATACAAGTTGAATTGAATTTGAGAACTGAAAAACCATTAACTCGTATTAATTGGGCTGAAATTAAAGGAACACATTATAGGGTTAATAGTATTTTGACTGAAGACTTAAATGATGACAAACCAAATTTTGTGATGATAAAAAATATTTTTCTTTATGGTTCTCATGGGGTTATTTTTGAATGTTGCCTTTTAAGTACAGTGGATTTTTATGAACATGTATATGCTTATGAGGTTGAAATATTAGAATCAAATAGAAAATTTATTTTTCAAAATGCATTATTGTCGCCTATACCCAATACTTTAAATGTAGTCTCAGATGGAACTAAATATGTTACAGTTAGAGACCCTTTATAATAATTTTATTATTTTTTGTTTCTATTTTTTTTTATTGTTTTATTATTTTTTTTTTTTTTTTATTGCTTTAAACATTAAATTATTATGTACTATAATATTTTAAATTATTGTATGAATATATGCCTAAATATCTAAGTGATGTATATAAATTGTCTATATAAAATAAAACCTTTTATATTATGAATAATATATTTAATGCCTTTTTTTATTTTGATATAGTTTAATATGTATTACACATATTGAGCATCATAGAAAAAATATAAAATAATTTGCTCTAACAACAATTTATTTTGTATGTGTAACCAGTAATTATAGTAAGTTTTACATAATAGTATTGTAGCTTTTACTTAAAGAACCTTATACTCAACATTAATATTTGATATTAACAACAAAATGAAGTTATTTGTAAAAACAATTATTGTTTTCTGTAACTAGAAAAACTCAATACTTGTAACATAAAGGTTAGTATTAGTAACAAAATAATTTCCTAGATACTTGAAATATTACAATATAATTATGTTGTATTAGTATAACAGTTTGCTGGACAAACAAAAACACTCTGTGTAATTAACTAAACATTTTGTTTTCTAAGTCAAATATATTCAGTTATTAATAAAAGAATCATGTTGAGAATACCAAATCAAGTACGGTTCAATTAACAAAACTATTTTGTATATCCAACGACTTAAAATTAACAAAAGTCAATTAATTTTTGCAACTAAAAATACTGTTGTCACTGAGGCAACTAAATTTCACAGTTGTAACTGCAATATTTCTGTTTCTACAACCAGACTTTTTTTTCAGTGTAATTTTTAACTCATCTTGATCGTTTCCAGCCGCGGCTATAAGGTTCGATTTGGGGGGGGGGTCATACGAAAAACCACGTACTGGCGTATTATACAAAAACATAAGATAAAGAGAATTTTCAATTAATAAAAAAAGTGTAATATATTATATTAAATTCAATTGTATAGTAGGTAGAATACCTGTTGTCTCTTTATTTTGGAATTTGTTGGACCACGGCCTTCTTCCCCTCCCCCTTGAAGCCGTCACTGGTCGTCTTCGTTGTCGGCATAGTCGTCGCGTCGTCGACATCCGATCGAATATTACCCCATTAATCATAATAATTCATAATATATATATGAGCGAAGTTCTGCAGCTCTGTTTACCGTATATATTGATATTGTTATGCGAAACGGAGGCGGAAAAGAAGACGACGACAACATGACGAACGAGTGCGTAAAAAATGCGTTTGTATTATATTGTGTCGTGTGCGTTGGGTCGTAATAAAAAAATAATACTTAATAACTGTTACTAAATGGTATTGACATATACGCGCGGGGGGTGATGTGGATTGTAGCGGGAAAGAAGACTCGGAAATCGCGAGGGACGGGGGCAGGGGCGGAACGGCAATAATTGTAAAAAAAAAACGCGGACTTTAGCTCCGGGGCGAATACGAGAAATTCGTGCTGGCACGGTCTCTCCGCGTCTCTAATTCGAAACATCTGTATTGTAACTACTCTACGCGCCATATTATGCTCTCCCTCAACCCCCTCACTGTATTGTCTCACTCTTTCTCTCTCACCCTCACACCCTCTCGCTCTCTCTCTCTCGCACCTCGCACCGGACAGCTCAGCAGCATCGGCAAATGATATATAAAAGGGGTGTAGGCGCGCTTGCGTGCGTGTGTGTGTGTGTGTGTGTTGTCATTGTCCCCTTTTCGGATAATCAACCGCCCCTCGGGTCCTATGTATACGCCGCGATATATATATATATATATATAGATGTATATAAGTACTACGGTGGCGACTGTACGACGACGACGACGACGATGACTATACTACGACAATATATATATTATATACTACGACCACTACTTTATATACGTGAATCGTTCGATGTGGGTGACAAATCAATACACACACAATCGCGCACGAACCATTATTATATTGGTGTGTACCGCGTGCAGCTGCACGACACTGTTATTGTTCCCGTTTATGGAATTTAATTATAAATTACACGGTCGAGAGTATTAAAATTTGAATAAACAATAACATTCCGAATATTGCTTTTTAAGAAACAGCTCCCTCCCCCATGAAAACTGTACACGAACCTATACTGCGCGTGCAAATCATACAATTTAATAACAGTATATTATGTTATTACAATAACGACGTAACAATTCTATATATAATAATAATATGTTTGTATGTAGTAGGTGTACACATTGACAGAGATCTTTTTGATGATGGGCGGGGGATCTTATACAGGAGCTTAGCCCCCGAAAATTGAGAATAATGTCTCCGTTTGACGAGTAGGTACCTAGGTATATGGTTATATCAACATTTTGTTCATCGTAGGATAGATTTGTAAATTAAATATAGTGTAACACTATATAATATATAGTTTTTATATTTTTTCATATCGTTACATTCTCCTGAAAAAAAGATTTTATTTCATCCATAAAAATGATTAAATATATTTTTGAGGTCAACTATTGTACAATAGTTTGGTAATATACTGATTGGTATATAGTTTAGTAATAAAATACTCTCGATAATTCGTTTGCCTGTTTAAAATAGGTGCGTTTATTATTAAGCACCCCACAAAATTCAACTAAATCTTCGCTCACGAGATTCAGTCTCACAATATGTGATTGTGTGTGTGTGTGTGTGTGTGTGTGTGTGTGTTCTGTCTCCATTTTGGCGGGGTATAAACTCACACAAAATGACGTCGGAGGCGATGCAATAATAATAAATTATTAATAATTAATAATCGACCGCCGCGCCGCCGCGCCGTTTAATTATTCACCACGCCGGCTTGCTGCGGCTGAATATTTACTTTAAAGAAGTAATCAAACGGTATATTCGATTATATATTTACAGTGTGTGTGTGTGTATGCTCAAGCCCGGATTAAGGATCAATTGGGCCCCGGGACACCATACACTTAGTGGGTCCCCTTTCAACTTTAACTTCAAAATAATTGTATCATTACATATTAAGGACTTTAGATTATTGTATAATTTTTTACTATACAAAAATAAAAAAATATAAAGGGTGTACCCTATGTCATTGTATGCTGTTTTTTTTAATAATTAGATCGATGATATGGAATTTCGTTAATACAAAAAAAGACAATCGTTTCTTTATTTTTAACAGGAAATTTATTTTATAACATATTCAACATTTTTAAACACGCAGTTGTAAAAATAATAAAATCGACTTTATTTTTTCAAATGGTAACCACTATGTTTTTTTATGGATTCCGCTAAAGATTTTTTTCTAAACATTTTGACAGTCAAATGATCAATTTTGGTTAGCTAGGTTATTAACTATGATCTTCTAAAGTATACAATAGTGACGATCAAAATTGGTCTTGGTCTTGAGGTCTCGCAAGACTCTTGCTGCAAGACCAAGACCAAGATTAGGCTTGCAAGAACAAGACAAGACCATCACTCCAAGACTCATGTGGTCTTGCAATTTTTTTTTTTTTCCCCGAAAACACATTACTGTATCTAGATTTCATTAACTAATAATTTATAACGAAAATAAAAAGAATTTATTTGTATTGTTATGAAATTTGACCAGTGTTCGAGGAAATGGCGAATTATTGAAAAAAAGATTAGAAATATAATGGGAATTGATATTACAAAATAACATAGTTGTTCATACTAATTAACAATTATTATTTTATTTTCCCAAAATCGATAAGTTTCATCTTAGAGATCATAACAAAAAACCTACACACAGCTATAACAGGTATTTAGTTATTTTTTATATATTTCGTGAAAAAAGCAAGAGTCTTTCTCAAGATCAAGACCAAGACCAATACTGAGTCTGCAAAATAAAGACCAAGCCCAAGATTTTGAAAGTCTTGGTCTTGGTCTTGTTTTGATCATCACTAGTATGCATTAATACCTTTAACTGAAATACCTAATTTACAAGAGCTAAATATTATTTTCTTATAACTACCTTTTATATACTTTAATAGTTAAATTGGTAATCTAAAATGTTCAAAAAAAAAAAACGAACAAACAAACAAAATTATTGGCAAACATAGTTCATTATTTATAGTAATTTTTGGTGGTATAAAATTGAGAACATATTTATTTTATAATTATTAATAATAATTTACCTACTATACCTACCTACTTACATAATTTTTTTTTTTTGAAAACTGTATTGGACACGTTAAAAAAATATATTTTGGTGATAAAGATGGGCCCCTAAAATCAATGGGCACCGTGCCCCCCTTGCCCCCCCCCTTAATCCGGGCTTGTGTATGCTTCGGTTGCTTAGGGTAGGGGTTCGCTCCTGAAATTTTCGTCCGGCTTACGGGCAGCGTCTTTTCAGTCACCATGATTTTAAATATGATGTGGTATTTTCGCCATCGCGTTACGTTGTGCTCTATAGAAAGTGCTCTTATAATAAGTGTCTCTAAAATACATGAAATATTAAATTAATTAATAACTGAAAATTATTGAGCAAACGAATATATAATAATATACAAACTAAAATATTTTACCGTTGTATTTTTCAAAATATTATTTGATACGAATTATAAAATAATAACAATAATTACCCTAAATTAAGTTTAAACTGTTTTAAATTAATTACAATAATTTAATTTATGCTTTATGGCATTAGGTTATACATTAGGTTTACAATATACATATACGAAAACTGTAAAAACTTGGTTTTAATCTATACTTAAACACCCCCCATTTCATAATCCTGGCTACGCCACTGACTATATGCCTATAATAATACAAACGATATGACATAATAATAATAAAATAATAGACAGACATTGCGGCGGCGACCGCTACTGCAGCCTGCTGAGACAACGACTACGGTTATGGTCGTCCTCGTCGGGATTTGCCATTGTTTTGTGTTTTTTTTCTTCGTTCGCGCCACAACGTCTGCCACAGCCGCCGCCGAGTATGTAGGTAGATACCTGGTATAATATGGGTACCTACCAGTCGCCGCCGTCGTATCACGAGTGTGTGTATATAGGCAATATTATCCGAACGTATTTAATAATATAGCTCGTCATTAATCGAGATGGACTTACAATGTGATTCTTTCAACACTGCTCGTTTACTCAACAATTCGTCGTCTCAGAATGAAAAGGTTCTAACGCAATTTATGTAATTGTTCAGGGGAACGTTTTTAAGTAGGACATTGAATAACTTTTTTCACCATAATTACTAAATCGTGAAAATTGTATGCAATATCAAGAAAGTTCCAAAGAACACAACTTTATCTGCAATTCGTCTTTCTTCAATTATTGACTGAGTTAATTATAAAAAACCAAAATATTAGTTTTAGAATTAAAAGGTTTTACGTGTAGAACTTTTTCATTCTGAAAATAAAAATTATTTATTTAGTTAGAACTTTTTCATTCTGATTTGAATCATTTTTTCTATGCAGTGATACCAACTTCTAGTGTAAACTATGTTATAAATTATACATTTTTTATTATGCAATATTTTGAGTTTTTAAGTTAAGTATTATTATATTATAACATACCCGTATATGTAGTGGTCGGGGGGTCCCCCCACCCCCCGGATTTTTTTTTTGTGTATGTGCCTGGACATACCTACTATAAGTAATAAGTTACAATCATATGGTCCATTGGCGCAATTAGTGTAGGGAAGGGGGGTATATTGAAAACTCAACAATATAAATTAAACGGCATAAATCATAATTCACAATAATGAAAAATGTCAAAAACGTAATTCAAATTTAAATGTACCATTTCTTATAATACTAAAGTAGGTACTATATACATGTGGCATGTAGGTATTACCTACCTTATCACCTCAACAAAACAAAAATATACGGTAAATTTATGCTGGAATGCTGGAATAATATTTTATTATGGTACAATAATAATTGATATTGTACCAGTGGTATAACCGTACTATAACGGTACCTTTTCATTCTGAGATATTACATTTAAGACCGTTTAGAACTATTTCATTCTTAATTATTGTTTAGAATGAAAAGGTTCTAACTGATATTTCTCGGTTTCGCTCTTATCATTCACGTTTTTATGAGTTAGAACCTTTTCATTATCTGTATCTCATTGAATAATCAACGGATCGATCCGATTTCAAGATTGAATTATACAACAAAAAATTATAAATGATTATAAGCAAAAAAACCATTTTTCAAAAAAATTGATTTAGAACCTTTTCATTCTGAGGCGACGAATTATTAAAATTACAGTTTAACTAATATTTCTTTTTCTCTTAACTATTATAATTGAATTGTAGCTAACAACATAAAATACCTAAATATGGAAAAAAAAATTCCTACTTACTTCACTCGAATTATTGTTACAATATTGTGACAATATTTTGATGTTGAATAATATTGCAAATTTCCCTACTTTTTTTTTTTTAATAAATACTCAACATTCAAAACATTTTCAAATTACTTGTATTAAAAATTGTATTAGTTTTTAATTTAAAATAGGTAGATACCGGGTATAATGTATATAGGCAATATTATCTGAACGTATATAATAATATAGCTCGTCATTAATCGACATGGTATTTCAGTTTACTCAACAATTATTAAAATTACAGTTAACAACTAATATATTTTTTTATTTTAACTATTACCTCGTTAACATCTACCTCATCACAAGCACTGTTTAATGAGGTAGATTAAAATTAATAATACATAGTAACAGTTCTAGTTTGAACATGTAAATTGTTTTATGACTTATGTATAATGTATCGTATTCTATTTTTCTTAAATAAAAAAAAAATTACATGAATTGAAGGGTAAAATACTTAAAAAGGTAAAATATATGTCATACTTACATCACTCGAGTTATTGTTACAATATTTTCATGATAAATATTATTACAAATTTCTCTAGTCTTTTTTTTTTAATAAGTACTCAAAATTCCCAACAATTTCAAATTACTTGCATTAAAAATGTAATAAGTTTTCAATTTAAATATCTAAACCTTTAAAAATAAATGTTTGCATAATTTTCCATGTATTGATAGTGGGTGTCGCTCTGCTGTACAGTAGGTTACAAGTGGGTCACTGTATAATGGATGATATTAAATTTGAATTCAACGATATAATATCATTGTATAAGAAAAACGATTCTGAGCGGAGACGGTATGTCAGTCTATGTATAAGACATCTTATATACATGTATATGGTATTAAACAAAAAATTGACCTATAATAGGTACCTATAATAAATTCCAAATTAATCATATCACAATATCCATTAGATACTTATAACGCGTTATACATCAACAAAAACCGTGATATTATCATAGATATATAATAGTACACTTTAGAAGTTTCAAGTACCCACGAATAATATTATTCAATCACAACAAAATAACTAAAATAGTTATTCTAGGTTTTTAATATGTAATTTCGTCCAAATTTGAATTTAAAATGTCTGTAAAAAATAACTGTGTTCATATATTTTTTAGATTTTTTGGTTATAGTATGAACTATTTACGAGAACCTTTGTGTTGAATTTGCAATATTTAGCTATAAAAACTGAATATTTTATAATTTATTAATTACAATGATTGATAATTTTCGACATTTTGATAAATTTTGTCAAAATTTGATCTTTAAATGCTTATAAAAAAAAACTGTGACTATGTATTTTTAATATTTTCAACTGATATTGTAACAATATATCAGGAGCCTTGTATTAAATTTTTACACTTTTTTACCCAACAGATAAAACTTTATTGATATTTATAGAAAAAAAACTAAAAAAAATTGAAAGCTGTAAATGTCCATAAACAGCTCAAAAAGAGTCAAAATATTTTCAAAATTGTATGGTGTATAGGAAATGCTAATATAAACATTCAGTGAAATTTTCATGTATCTACAGTTATTCGTTTTTGAATTACAACAAAATAAGGAAATCGCTACATGAGAAATCGTGTGAACATCCAATGTTGTAAAAATTTGAATTTCAAACGCTCATAAAAATTTAATTTGAATTTCCGGTAGAGATTTTTTTATTGATAAAGGTAGACAAACTTATGAGTAATCTTGTATTACATTTTCAAATCTTAGATTTAAAGAGAAAAATTTTTACGAATTCTTAACTCAAAATAATTCGCTAATTTTCGTGATTTTTCCTCATTTTTACAATTTTTGAACTTTAAATGCTTATAAAAAAAAATTGTGACAAAGGATTTTTAATATTTTTCATCTGCCTTTGAAACAATATATTAGGAGCCTTCTATTAAATTTTCAAGCTTTCGCAACCAACAAATAAAATTTTATTGATATTTTTAGAAAAAAAACTATAAAAAGATGGAAAATGAAAATGTCCCTAAACAGTTCAAAATAAATCAAAATATTTTGAAAACGTTATCGTTTATATAAAATGCAAATATAAACAACCAGTGGAAATTTCATGTATATACGTTCATTTCTTTTAGAGTTACACCAAAAACCAAAATCGATTTTTTGGAAAACCGATTTTGCGTAAAAATTCCCGTTTTTCCTTAATTTTTATGTTGTTTTTCGCGGCGCTTGTGAAATTTTCAAAGCATATATAATTAAGTGACGAATTCAAATCTGCTTTCAAAATTAATCAGAACATTATTTTGTGCTTAGTGAGTGAAGTAGTGAGCTATGTATTCGACCGAAAATTAAACACGCTAATACCTCCTTAAAATTTGGTATTTTTTATTTTTTCAATAAAATTGTTTTATTTTTGGTATTTAAAATAACTATAATCTGTATATATAAAAAGACTTGTCCTGGGTGATTCACCATCGCCTAGCCGGAACTGCTGGGTCTAGAGACTTGAAATTTTGTACAGAGGTTCCTTAAGCAATGTAAGGGCGCACTAAGAAAGGATTTTTGAAAATTCGACCTACAAGGGGGTAAAAGTGGGGTTGAAAGAATATGATAGTGGCGCCATCTATCAAGCAATATTTAATTTAAATATACAATATTGGTATTAAATCTGTATATATAAAAAGACTTGTCCTGGGTGATTCATCATCGCCTAGCCGGAACTGCTGGGTCTAGAGACTTGAAATTTTGTACAGAGGTTCCTTAAGCAATGTAAGAAAGGATTTTTGAAAAATTTATTTTTTCAATAAAATTGTTTTATTTTTGGTATTTAAAATAACTTTAATCTGATGAGTTTGATAACATACCCAGCTCTCAGAAGCATACTAAAAAACGACGGAAGAGATTTACAAATAATATCAGAAAAAAACAGCTTATACAATCTGCTACTAAATATCAGCTCAAAAATAAAGAAGTTCATAAAGTAGCAGCAGCCAAGTATAAAAAAAAAAATCCAGAAGTAAATAGAGTGCAAGTTCATAGATATGAACAAAATAATCCAGGAGGACGATCAGAGAGGCGAATCCTTCCCTGGAAAATAAAAGCTTTTTCCGGCATGAAATATGAATCGGAAATAGCTTATGAGACGGATGAAACTGTATCTTTGGGTACTATGAGTCATAAATGCGTATACTGCGATGCTCTTAAATTCAAAGAAGAGGCGCCTGGAATGTGTTGTAGTGCCGGTAAAGTACAACTTCCGTCTTTTTTACCTCTTCTTGAACCTCTTTACAGTTTGATTATGGGGTTCCATCCTGATCACAAAAATTTCATGGACCGTATTAGAAAATACAATAACTGCTTCCAAATGACATCTTTTGGAGCGAAACAAATTATCGAAGATGGATTTATGCCCACATTCAAAGTGAAAGTTCAGGTGTATCATTTAATTGGTAGTTTGCAAGCTTTACCTCAACAAAACCCTCAATTTCTACAGATTTATTTCGTTGGAGATGATGAGAGAGAAACACGCTTAAGATGTAGCCACTTCGCTGATGTAAAGCAAAGCCTGGTAAAACAATTACAAGCGATGTTGCACCATAATAACCCATACATAAAGGACTTGAAAACCACACTCGAAAGAGTACCTTAAAATAGTAAAAACTTTGAAATTATAATACACGCTGATAGAAAACCTGATAATGCTCACAGAGGACGTTATAATGCACCAACAACAAGTGAAGTATCATTGGTCATAGTTGGACAACAGTTTGAAAAACGAGATATTGTGTTACAAAGTCATGATAACAAATTGCAACGGATTAGTGAATTGCACCGTTCATACGATACACTTCAGTATCCGTTACTTTTCTGTCATGGGGAGGATGGTTATTCCATTAATATCTCTCAGATTGATCCAAAAACTAAATTACCACTTCAGAAAACAGTTTCTGCATCGCAATTTTATTCTTACCACATCATGATTAGACAAACCGAAATCAACCATTTACTGTACTTTAGATCACTTTTTAATCAATATTTAGTTGATATGTACGCTAAAATTGAAACAGAGCGCTTAAATTTTATTAAAAACAATCAAATGCAACTCAGAGCTGATAATTACATACATTTCAGAGATGCTATTGGGAGACAAGATACCGATCTTACCCATCTTGGTCAGATGGTAGTTCTTCCGTCGTCTTTTACTGGCTCACCACGGTATATGCATGAAAAAACTCAGGACGCCATGACATACGTTCGTCATTACGGTCGTCCTGATTTATTCATAACTTTTACATGTAATCCTCGATGGAGAGAAGTTTCAAATGCATTACTTTCTGAACAAAAGTCCTACGATCGTCATGATATTATAGCTAGGATATTTCATTTAAAAGTTAAGACGTTAATGAAATTGTTAACAAAAGGGAATTTGTTTGGGGAAGTGCAATGTTTTATGTATTCGGTCGAATGGCAAAAACGTGGTTTACCACACATACATATTTTGTTATGGCTAAAACAGCGCATTTCTTAGATTGTAAATCTAAGATCGCATAAATTAGATTGTATCATTAGTGCGGAAATACCTGATCCTGAAAAAGATTCTCTCCTTTACGATATTATCAAAACCAATATGATCCATGGGCCTTGCGGTAATTCAAACAATAGATCACCCTGTATGGAGTCAGGTAGCTGTAGGAAGAAGTATCCTAGAACTTTCATTCAAGAAACACAGACAGGAGACGACGGGTATCCAAAGTATAGGCGAAGAGCTCCAGAAAATGGTGGTTTTACTGTTGAAATAAATGGTAATACACTTGATAATCGTTGGGTAGTACCGTATAACCCAGTGCTTTCACGTACATTTGGTGCTCATATTAATGTAGAGTACTGTAACTCTGTAAAATCTATAAAATACATTTGTAAATATATTACAAAAGGAAGTGATCAAGCAGCATTTGGTTTTGAAAATGATAATGATGAAGTCAAGCTTTATGAAAGTGGTCGATATATCAGCAGCTCTGAGGCTGTATGGAGAATTCTGGCTTTTCCTATCCACGAGAGATTTCCAACAGTCTTCCATCTTTCCGTGCATTTAGAAAATGGCCAGCGTGTTTTTTAATGACTCCAGTCGTTTAACAGACATGATTAACAATCCACCAAAAACTACTCTTTTAGCATTTTTCGACTTATGTAAAACAGATGATTTTGCAAAAACACTTCTTTATGTTGATGTTCCCTCTTACTATGTATGGAAAAATAATAGATTTGAGAGAAGAAAACGTGGAATTAACGTAAATGGTTGGCCGGGAATAAAACGAGATCAAGCTCTGGGTAGAGTATATACCATTCACCCTAATTGTCGCCGCCGCGACAATACGGCAATAGCGCGTAGGCACCACCACCGACACACACACACACGCACATAATATTATCTGGTTTATTGTATTGAGTTATTATTATTGTTTATTTATGTTAATTATATAAGTCAGCTGTGAATTATATAATATGTAGATAATGCGCGGTCGGCCGTCGACGTTGAGAATTAGCACGGCCGCCGGAATCGTTAGTCCGCTCCATGTTGTTGACGAGTTCCAGTGTGTTAACGATAGACACAACAGTGTTTTTTCTACGCGCGCAAATCGCCGTAAAAAAATATTATATTTCATGTCGGCGCGAATCGCCATTTTTATCAATTATTATAATATCATATCTTGTGTGAGCGCAAATCGCCACATTACATATTTTGTGTGAGCGCGAATTGTCACATTTATTATTTTATATACTTTGTGTGCGCGAATCGCCGCCTTTTTTATTGTACTGTCGTGCGCAAATCGCCGTCATCTTCAATTATTATTTTTTGTACGAATTTTTAGTGTTATCACAGGTGCCGGTAGCGGCTGGCCAGCAGTGCTCCGACTTAACCGTGAGTTTTTAAACATATTGTATTCCTTGTATTATTATTGTTAGATCATAAGGGTTATATAATATAGTTGCTATTATTCTGTCGTGCCACAAGGGCCGTTTGTAATTTTATATTTATATTAGTTATTTTGTACAAGCCTTAGCTATTAGAGCTGTGCTTATTATTATTTGGTTGTCCGTGCGTCGTGCCATAAGGGCCGTGTACTCATATTATAATTCATTCTGTTGGGCCAGAAGGGCCAAAAAACATTATTATACTCTGTTATGCCATAGGGCTGCTATTTATTATACCATATCCTTTTTGATTTTCTATATATTTTGTGTGTCCTTAGATAAAGTTGTACCATTATTATTCAATTTTTATATTAAACGGCAACTAGTCATTACACAGCAACCGAGTTACCATTTTTATTAGAGTTACCCGTTCGTCTAGAATTTAAGTACACACAAATACACACATACACACCCACCACACACAAGCACTCTCTGGTTTTGCTCGGCGACCCCGTCCACTTCCTTTGAGTCGCTATATACACGTACACACATTTACACAAGTCGGTCGGTGTGTGCTGCGCTACGAAGTAGTTGGTGACCGGGCGCGCGTATATCTAAGATTATATGCTCCCGGCCCGTTCATTTTGGTGACCTCGACGTGATCGCGTTAATTACGTATCGCGATTATTATACTATTATTACTATTATCGCAGTTCATAATATACGTATAGTGCATAAGATTCAAATCAAAAGCTAAAATTGAATTTTATTGCCATAGTGTTGTAGCTACGTAATATTGAACTTAGCGAAAACTTATTATTTTTATTATAGAATCCGCTTCTCGTTTTTACAACACACTTGATTTAGGATCGAGTTGGCAGAACTTCTTTAACATAAATTTAGTCATAATATAGCAATGGTTTTAGACGCAGAGACGCTGAAGGTGTTGTCTGAACTTAGACGTAAACGTGGTGTGGTCAAGGGTGCACTCACCCGTACGTTGAAATTCATCAATAACTTTGATCCAAAGACTGAGGCCTTGTCATTGTTAGAGTTTAGGCAAGAAGAGTTACCTCAAATAAATAGGAAATTCGACGATGTACAATCAGAGATAGAACTACTCAATACTGAGGATCCGTTTGAGGAAGAGAAGGAAAGAGAAGAGTTTGAAAAAAACTATTTTGCCGCACGCTCTAGAATTCAGGAAACTATAACTAACGAAAGGCGTCATAATGCTTCAGGTCATGATACTTCACATAATTCGAATACGTCAACAAACCAGTCACGAATACAATTACCACCAATAAAAATTCCGGAGTTCAGCGGGAACATTCAGGATTGGGAACCTTTCTTCGACTCTTTCCGATCTGCAATACACGAGGAAAATAGTTTTACATCGGCTCATAAATTTTACTACCTCAGATCATATCTTACTGGTGCAGCTCTAGATCTAATCAAAGCGGTCCCTATGACGGATGCCAACTATTATGTGGCGATTGAACGGCTTAAGCAGAGATACGACAATAAGAGCCTAACCATACAGTCTCACATCAAATCATTATTAGAATCTCCACACGTAGAAAATGCAACCGCAACCGAGCTTCAACAACTACATTCACATGTATGCACGCATATTGCAGCTCTTAAGGCATTAGATCAACCTGTGGACAAATGGGATGCCTGGTTAATAACTATCATTAGCATGAGGTTAGACAAGGACACGTTACATGGATGGCAACTACATCAGAGGAATACACAGTTCCCGAAGTATGTAGATCTAGAAGAATTTCTTGCGGGCCGTTGTGTGGCAATGGAAACCTCCTACCAATTTTGTTCCAAACTGGAGGGAGCCAACACTAACTCTGTACCTCATCAAAGGTCAAAGGGATACAAGAGCAATAACAACCCTCCAAAACTGACACTATTTACCAACAAAAATGACCGCGACAATAAGTGTACTCACTGCGCGGGTAAGCATTGGCTGTTCTTCTGCGACTCATTCAAGGAGTTAGACGTCAATAGTCGATTGACAGTTGTAAGAGATGCAAAACTCTGCTTCAACTGTCTGTCACCGTACCACTCAAAGGATTATTGTAAATCAAAATATAGTTGTCAAACATGTAAGGGCAGGCACAACACCCTACTCCATCAAGAGAGGAAATCAGGAGCAACAAGTCAGAAGGAGGACGATCTTCCAAACTCATCAAAGGAAGATACCTCGTCGAGCAACGGTCAGAAAGTGTCCATGCCAGCGCAAGCAACAAGTGAACACGTATTTTTAGCAACAGCAGTAGTCACCGTAAGGGACAGCCACGGTTCTTATCACAAGTGTCGAGCCGTCCTGGACAGTGGCTCACAAGTAAACTTTATTTCAAGGGAGCTTTCGAGAGTTTTAGGATTAAACCAGAGAACAAACGTCCTACCAATATGCGGTATTGGTACCAGCAAGACTCAATCGGGTGCAAGTGTAGACATAACCGTAAGTTCCTCCGTCAAGAAATTTGATATCGAAATAACCTGTCACATATTGCCTGTTATAGTAAATGACTTATCAGCTATACCAACTCCAAGGGATGGTTGGAACATTCCTAATGAATTGGTACCTTTCCTAGCAGATCCAACATTCTGTGAATCGGGATCGATTGAACTATTAATTGGAAGTGCTCTTTTCTTCGACTTGATATTAACCGAGCGTATTCCGCTTATCACAGGGAAGCTTTATCTACAAGATAGTAAATTTGGTTGGATTGTAACTGGAGTAATCGATGCAACTTGTCTTTTGATTATTGCAGAAACTCTAGAGAGAGATTCGGATGTCAATGACAGGACAGAAGATTCGACACATTACGACAATTCTAAGTGTAATCAGAGATACTTGGAAGATGACAAGGCTCTACATCATTTCCAGAACAACACGCGACGCAACGAAGAAGGTCGGTTCATTGTTCGATTACCTATCAATATATCAACAGACATGCTCGGTAACACGCTAATAATGGCAACCACACGGTTTTTGAGCGTGGAGAGGAGGCTTCAAAGGGATGACAAGCTAAGAACAGAATATACAAGGTTCATGAAAGAATATCTTGAGATGGGTCACATGAAAGAAGTTCAAAATGAAGTTGAGTTGCCGGTCCGATCGTGTTATTTACCACACCATGCGGTACAAAAGGAGTCAAGCTTAACGACTAAAATTAGGGTTGTATTTGACGCCTCAGCAAGGAGCTCTTCCGGAGTATCGTTAAACGATATATTGATGCATGGTCCAACAGTACAAGCAGATGTCTTCACCATATTGGCTAGATTTAGAATGCACCAATATACATTGATGGCTGATATCGAAAAAATGTTTCGACAAGTGGCAATCGATGAAAGGGACTGGGACTTGCAGCGAATTGTATGGAGAGATTCACCTACTGAACCATTAAAAACATTCAATCTAACGACTGTAACATATGGCATGAAACCAGCGTCATTTCTTGCAACACAATGCCTTGTAACCTTAGCTCACCTGGTACACAACGAATATCCAAGAGCCTCAGAAATTATCAAAAATGATATATACATGGATGATTTGATGACAGGAGCCGAGACTGAAGAGGATTGTATAAAATTACAACAAGAACTGAACACTATCTTAATTTCCGCCAAACTTCCACTACGTAAATGGTGTTCAAATTCTACTAAGGTGCTACAACACGTAGGCAAAGGAGAGGCTGATCCACTATACACCTTGGAAATAAGAGATGGTGACACAGTGAAGTCACTTGGTTTACAGTGGAGACCATATCAAGATGAATTCCATTTCAACATAGCCATGGATTCAACAAGATCAAGATGTACTAAGAGAACTCTCCTTTCCGACCTAAACCGAGTATTTGATCCACTCGGATTTCTAGCACCCGTGCTACTCAAAGGAAAAATATTCATGCAGCAAATTTGGGCGTTGAAGGTTGAGTGGGATAGTCCACTCTCTGCAGACGTTATAGAGAGATGGAAAACATTCATGCGAGACTTAGAGACATTAAGGAACATCTGCATACCAAGAAAGGTGATACCAGCCGCCTGCAATTTTATCGAGTTTCATGGCTTCTGCGACGCGTCTGAAGAAGCATACGGAGCATGCATTTACATAAGAACGAGAGGAACCAACAAAACATATCATGCGCAACTCATGTGTGCCAAAACTCGTGTAGCGCCGCTAAAGGCAGTGACAATACCACGTCTTGAGTTGAATGGGGCATTGCTGTTAGCAGAGCTTGCAAGAAAGGTAGCAGATGCATGGGGGAACAATACACATTCCTTTCAGTTGTGGACAGACTCAACCGTCGTACTGGGGTGGTTAAACAGTCACAACAAACGTCTCAAGACATATGTCGCAAACAGGGTGAACCAGATACTCGAAATTACTGAAGCTAGACAGTGGAGACACGTCCGCACTAATGAAAATCCTGCCGACATTGCATCTCGTGGAGTAAAGCCAGCAGAACTCTTGAGAAATAATTTCTGGTGGAACGGTCCAGATTGGCTGACCCAAGACGCAGAGCAATGGAAGATCTCAGCCTTACCGGACGAAGAGGAAATATTACCGGAAATAAAACCAGTGCAACTAGCACTTATCTCAATTGATTCATCCAAGGACCTATTACAGTATTACTCAAGTTGGAAAAAACTTGTTCGGGCAATTGCTTGGCTGAGCAGATTCGTCGAATTTCGAAAGACGAAGGGAAGTGAGACCAACGCGACTAAATATTTGGTTCTATCTGAACTAAGGTCAGCAGAGAAAATATTAATCAAACGAGCACAAGCCGATGAGTTTTCATTGGAGCTCCTAGCAATGCGTAAACAAAGGGAGATTCCAAAATGTAGCAAACTTAAGGGATTATGCCCAGTACTGCGAACGGATGGCCTAATAGTGGTAGGAGGAAGACTTGAAAATGCAGACCTTGGTGAGAAGCAGATACACCCAGTTGTTCTACCAGCAAAACATAAGATAACAAGACTAATCTTCGAGGACTATCATCAAACACTCCTCCACTGTGGACCGCAAACGCTACTAGCAGAAGTTAGACAATGTTACTGGCCCTTAAGGGGTAGGATAATGGCTCGTTCTACAGTAACACGCTGTATAAATTGCGTTCGTGCAAGACCACGATTTGAACCCCCACTTATGGCCCCGTTACCAAAGCAAAGAGTGCAAATGTCGCGCCCATTCACCGTAACTGGTGTAGATTTTGCAGGGCCATTACAAATTCAAAGTGGCATACGTCGCGTTACAACAAAGAAGGCATGGATAGCGGTGTTTGTATGTTTTTCCACGAGAGCTATACACTTAGAACCCGTCGTAGGCTTAACAAGCGAAGCCTTCCTTGCAGCCTTACGTAGGTTTATAGCGAGACGTGGAAAAAGCACCAAGATTTACAGCGATAATGCAACAAATTTCGTGGGTGTGCAAAAAGAGCTAAAGACATATTTAGAAAACAGTGAAAGGTACATGGCTGACGAAGGAGTTCAATGGCATTTTAATCCCCCATCGGCACCACACTTCAGTGGCCTTTGGGAAAATGCTGTAAAAAGTACTAAGCATCACTTATATCGGGTAATCAAGGATAGTCGGCTGAATCTGGAGGAGTTGCAAACATTGTTATGCCAGATTGAGGCATGTGTCAACTCACGGCCTATGACACCACTAAGTAGTGACCCAGGAGAACCCAATGCCCTTACACCAGCTCACTTTCTCATCGGTGGTCCACTGCTCCTACCACCTGAACCGGAAATACCAGGTGAGATAGTTAGCAATCTCCGCCGCTGGAAGCATGTCCAAGGATTGATGCAGATATTCTGGAAACGCTGGCACAAGGAGTATCTACCTCAGCTCCAGGTTCGAGGACGATGGATTACACCCAGAAAAAACATGAGTGTAGACGACATAGTAGTTATAAAGGAAGACTGCACACCACCTACCAAATGGAAGCTGGGACGCATAATGCAAGTACACCCAGGTATCGATGGAATAGTCAGAGTGGTTACCTTACGGACGTCAAATCAAGCAGAATTGCGCCGACCAGTCGCAAAGTTATGCCGACTGCCAACAGATGCCGATATCCAAGTTGAAACCTATCACTTTCAACGGGGGGAGGATGTCGCCGCCGCGACAATACGGCAATAGCGCGTAGGCACCACCACCGACACACACACACACACGCACATAATATTATCTGGTTTATTGTATTGAGTTATTATTATTGTTTATTTATGTTAATTATATAAGTCAGCTGTGAATTATATAATATGTAGATAATGCGCGGTCGGCCGTCGACGTTGAGAATTAGCACGGCCGCCGGAATCGTTAGTCCGCTCCATGTTGTTGACGAGTTCCAGTGTGTTAACGATAGACACAACAGTGTTTTTTCTACGCGCGCAAATCGCCGTAAAAAAATATTATATTTCATGTCGGCGCGAATCGCCATTTTTATCAATTATTATAATATCATATCTTGTGTGAGCGCAAATCGCCACATTACATATTTTGTGTGAGCGCGAATTGTCACATTTATTATTTTATATACTTTGTGTGCGCGAATCGCCGCCTTTTTTATTGTACTGTCGTGCGCAAATCGCCGTCATCTTCAATTATTATTTTTTGTACGAATTTTTAGTGTTATCACAGGTGCCGGTAGCGGCTGGCCAGCAGTGCTCCGACTTAACCGTGAGTTTTTAAACATATTGTATTCCTTGTATTATTATTGTTAGATCATAAGGGTTATATAATAGAGTTGCTATTATTCTGTCGTGCCACAAGGGCCGTTTGTAATTTTATATTTATATTAGTTATTTTGTACAAGCCTTAGCTATTAGAGCTGTGCTTATTATTATTTGGTTGTCCGTGCGTCGTGCCATAAGGGCCGTGTACTCATATTATAATTCATTCTGTTGGGCCAGAAGGGCCAAAAAACATTATTATACTCTGTTATGCCATAGGGCTGCTATTTATTATACCATATCCTTTTTGATTTTCTATATATTTTGTGTGTCCTTAGATAAAGTTGTACCATTATTATTCAATTTTTATATTAAACGGCAACTAGTCATTACACAGCAACCGAGTTACCATTTTTATTAGAGTTACCCGTTCGTCTAGAATTTAAGTACACACAAATACACACATACACACCCACCACACACAAGCACTCTCTGGTTTTGCTCGGCGACCCCGTCCACTTCCTTTGAGTCGCTATATACACGTACACACATTTACACAAGTCGGTCGGTGTGTGCTGCGCTACGAAGTAGTTGGTGACCGGGCGCGCGTATATCTAAGATTATATGCTCCCGGCCCGTTCATTTTGGTGACCTCGACGTGATCGCGTTAATTACGTATCGCGATTATTATACTATTATTACTATTATCGCAGTTCATAATATACGTATAGTGCATAAGATTCAAATCAAAAGCTAAAATTGAATTTTATTGCCATAGTGTTGTAGCTACGTAATATTGAACTTAGCGAAAACTTATTATTTTTATTATAGAATCCGCTTCTCGTTTTTACAACACACTTGATTTAGGATCGAGTTGGCAGAACTTCTTTAACATAAATTTAGTCATAATATAGCAATGGTTTTAGACGCAGAGACGCTGAAGGTGTTGTCTGAACTTAGACGTAAACGTGGTGTGGTCAAGGGTGCACTCACCCGTACGTTGAAATTCATCAATAACTTTGATCCAAAGACTGAGGCCTTGTCATTGTTAGAGTTTAGGCAAGAAGAGTTACCTCAAATAAATAGGAAATTCGACGATGTACAATCAGAGATAGAACTACTCAATACTGAGGATCCGTTTGAGGAAGAGAAGGAAAGAGAAGAGTTTGAAAAAAACTATTTTGCCGCACGCTCTAGAATTCAGGAAACTATAACTAACGAAAGGCGTCATAATGCTTCAGGTCATGATACTTCACATAATTCGAATACGTCAACAAACCAGTCACGAATACAATTACCACCAATAAAAATTCCGGAGTTCAGCGGGAACATTCAGGATTGGGAACCTTTCTTCGACTCTTTCCGATCTGCAATACACGAGGAAAATAGTTTTACATCGGCTCATAAATTTTACTACCTCAGATCATATCTTACTGGTGCAGCTCTAGAGCTCTAGTTCACTAATAATACCGAGTGTTACTATCTTCGCCTTTTACTTCATGAAGTCCGAGGTTCTACATCTTTTTTGAAATTGAAAACTGTTAACGGCACAATTCAACCTACTTATCAGACAGCGTGTAAGGCTCTAGGCTTACTGGAAGACGAAAGGCACTGGGATACAACTATGGAAGAAGCTGTGCTTTGTGGTTCTCCATTTAAATTACGGGAACTTTTTGCAATTATGTTGATATTTTGTCAATTGTCAGATGCTTTAAGTCTTTGGGAAAAATACAAGGACAGTCTTTCAGAAGATATACGACATCGAGTGGAGTTGGATATACAACCCGAGAATGTGAATTCAATTATTAATGAAGTATACAATAAATGCTTAGTTACTCTTGAAGATACTGTTCTATCTCTGGGAGGTACATCTTTGCAACATTATGGTTTACCTCAGCCATCAAGATGTGAAGCAGTCTTACAAAATAAAGATTACCTTCGAGAAATCAATTATGATTCAAATATTTTGGCACAGTATATAAATTTTAATGAACATTTACTAAATAATGAACAGTCCTATGTATATAACAAAATATTAGAGGGCATTGAAAAGAACACTGGCCAAACATTTTTCTTAGACGCACCTGGAGGCACTGGTAAAACATTTGTCATAAATATTTTATTGGCCAGAGTACGAAAAGATCATGGAATAGCTTTGGCTGTAGCTTCTTCAGGCATCGCTGCTACATTGCTAGAAGGAGGTAAAACAGCTCATTCTGTATTTAAATTACCATTAAACCTAACGAGAGTAGAGACACCTATGTGCAATATTTCCAAACAGAGTAATAAAGCACAAGTTCTAAAAGACTGTAAGTTAATAGTTTGGGATGAATGTACAATGGCCCACAAGGGTGGCTTTGAAGCCCTCAATAGAACATTAAAAGATATAAGGGGATATAATAATTTGATGGGTGGAGTCACTGTGCTGCTAGCAGGAGATTTTCGGCAAACATTACCCGTTATACCTAGGGGTACAAGGGCTGATGAAGTAAAGTCATGTCTAAAAGCTTCGTATTTGTGGCCACATATCCAGAAAGTTGCACTTCATAAAAATATGAGGGTTCATGTGAAAGGTGACACATCTGCTGGGATTTTCGCTGAGATGTTACTTAAAATAGGAGACGGAAATTTCCCTTCATTGGAAGGTGAGATCACTATTCCCTCAAATTTGTGTACAGTTGTTAGCTCTTTATCAGAACTAACTTCCAGAATTTACCCAGATATAATAAATATCAAGATGAAACCCATCGAATGGTTGTGCGAGCGAGCCATCTTAACTCCAAAGAACGACAAGGCAGCCGAAATCAATGAAATTCTACTAAAGGCATTTAATGAAAAATCTGTTGAATATAAATCTTTTGATTCGGTGATCCAATCGGATGATGCTGTCCATTAACCTTTAGAATTTCTTAATACTCTGAATCCTTCTGGTCTTCCATCACATAAACTTATCCTTAAAATTGGAGCACCTATAATGTTACTAAGAAATCTTAACCCACCTAAATTGTGTAATGGAACTAGATTGCAAGTTAAATCTCTGCACAAAAATGTAATAGAAGCTATAGTTATCACTGGGTGTGCTAGAGGAGATATAGTTTTAATCCCGAGAATAACGTTAATCCCAACTGATTATACCTTTGAGTTTAAAAGAATACAATTCCCACTCAAAGTTTGCTTTGCTATGACTATTAATAAGTCTCAAGGACAATCATTGAGCATGGCAGGGATTGACTTAAGAGAAGAATGTTTTTCACATGGACAGTTCTATGTCGCATGTCCAAGAGTTAGCTCTGCCAGTAGTTTGGTTATTTTAGCACCAAAAGGCAGTACCAAAAATACTGTTTATAAAGTGGTATTGAGATAAACAAAATATGTCAATATAAATATTGGTGGATTTTTATAAAACCATAATGTTTTTGGGTATATTTTATTTCAACATTTCGTCGATTAGAATTGTATCTTACAATTTGTTTTCAAAATATTAAAATAAAGTAATTTTTTGCTGACTTCTGATTGTAACAATACATGGGCAACCTAGGATAAACTTATCTAAAAGCAGCCTGTAATAAATATAAAAACTGATAAAATAAAAGTTATAGTAGGTTACACAAAAAAACTGTACACGGGCGAAGCCGGGTTATTCAGCTAGTATTCTATATACGAATATAATGTAGGTACTCGTACTTGTAGAACAAAAGTTATTTAATTTATCAGTGGTATTTCTGTTACACACTGTATAATGCTTAAATATATGGTAGACTTTATTTGAACCGTACTCACATAGTCACATAGACATAATACATAAAACACAACTTTGGAAACGGTCGTTAGACTAATTATTAGGACCGATGAACGAATGAACGATAATATTATGATATAATTAATGATTTGATTAAATATTTAAATATTTTACCCAATACATGTTTAGCAGTGTTATCTATTATATCTTAATGCCATATTATGTAGTTAGTAGGTATTTAAATTATAAAAACAGTAATTAAAGCATTTAACAATTGTTGAACACCTTGTATACCATACAATAGTTTCATAGTTAACTACAGGTTATAGTTTTATATTTATACATCTTTACTTAGTCTCTTCTCCATTAGTTGGATACCTACCATAACGTCAACCCGCCCACACTTCCAGTCAATATCTATTGCATCTAGTAATCATATTTTCACTAATAATATATCATCGAGATTTTATATGTAAAAATCAGAAAATATTTTCACACTCGTGTTACAATTTTTATTTTAAATAAAATAACTTTTTAAGGAACTTTTAACAAACTGAAAAAAATTCTGTATTATTTTATACTCAACTAAATTTAACATAATAAAATAAAACAAATTACTTCAATATTACAATTTTTAAACTTTATTATATAAATAAAATAAACAGTAGGAAAGTGGGTGTTGCTCTGCTGTACAGTAGGTTACAAGTGGGTCACTATAATGGATGGTG